AGAAGTAGACATGATAAGGATGTCATCCAGATAACACTGGAAACGAATTGACCTAAGCCTAAAAGAAGTGGCTAAAGCCACCAATATCTTGGTGAAACTACGGGGAGCTGAGGAAAGACCAAAGGGCAAAGCCCTATACTGAAAATGGTTCCCTGCATAGTAGAAACGTAAGAACTTCCTATGGGAAGATCGATTGGGCACATGAAGGTATGCTTCAGTTAAATCAATTGAACAGAGGAGATCGCCGCTCCCAACTCCGTCTAAGATCGAACGTAAAGATTGCATTTTGAATCTTCTATAAACTACAAAACAGTTCAAACGTTTAAGGTCCAGAATAGGTCTCCACCCACCCGATGACTTAGGTACTAGGAAAACCCGAGAGTAGAACCCCTCTCCCAATTGATCCTGGGGCACTAGTTGGATGGCCTTGATGGAGAGGAGGTGATCTGTAGCCGAATCCATAAGGGCTCTATGCTCGGAACTACCAGATCGGAGGCAGCGGAGAAAAACAGAAGGAGGAGTGGAGACGAATTCGATGGTCAGCCCTGATCGAATGGAGGCCCGGACCCAGCAATCTGAAGTAGTGCGCTCCCAAATAGCGGCAAAGAGGCCCAATCTGCTGCCCATGGGAGGGTTGAGAACACTACTAGCGACTGTGATGGTTGGAACGACCCCCCCCTCGAAAGGGCCGTCTAGTCATAATGGTCCTGCCCCTCCCAGGGCTGTCCTGAAACCCTCTCTGCCTGGGAACAAAATTACTCGTACCACGAAAAGATCCCAAACCCCCGTCCAAAGGGCAAAACTGGGCACGGGAGGAATAAGGTGAGTATCTGCACTTCCCCCTACGGAAAACCTTGGGCAAGACTTTTCTTTTGTCTTTGGTTTCTATTAGGAAAGCCTCCAATGGATCCCCAAACAACGTTTCCCCCAGAAAGGGGACGGAGGCCAGTCGCCACTTATGCCGGGCGTCAGCCGGCCAATGTTGCAGCCAAACCAGGCGTCGGGCTGCCACAGTTGAAGCTAGGGATTTGGATGCGAAGCGAGCTGCATTTAATGTCACATCCGCAGAGAACTGCACCGTCGCCACAATTTTGTTGATGTCCTGTCTGAATTTAGAGTCCTCGTTGGAGAGCTTGTCTTGGAGCTGACAAAGCCAGAGAAGGGTTGACCGGTTAAAAAAGGAGGCCATAGTAGCCGAACGGATGGCCCAGGCAGCCACAAGATTAGCCCGTTGAAGGACTTGCTTGGATCGTCGCTTTGGCGAAGGTTCTCTTCAGGATCACCAGGAACCGTAGACTGCGAAAGCAATGCCGCGACCGGGTTATCCACCATGGGAACCTGAAGCAGTGAGGACAATTCAGATGAAACGGAGAAGTTTTTCCGATCTGTGGTAGATGGTACAGGAGCAGTAATGGGAGAGGACCATTGTTTCCGTATAATGTCCATAAACAGAGGAGGAGTAGGGATGGTCGTCACAGGCTTAGGTGGTTCCGTAAACAAGGGATTTAGCGAGCCCTTGGTCGCAGAAGGTACTGGTTGAATAGAAGTCCCAAGCTGAGCCGCATTCACGGCTTTAAACAGAAGAGACTTATACAGAGCCTGAAGAAAAAGGCCCGTAAAGGGAGGTTGATCTGGAGGAAGTCCTTCGTCTTCCGACAACTCTAATTTTAATTAGCAATTTTATGATGTTTGTGTGTCTATATTTTTCTTGACTGTACATCGCCTTGAGTCCTACGGGAGAAAGGCGGTATAGAAATATAATTAATTAATTAATTAATAATAACTAACTAACTAACTAACTAACTAACTAACTAACTAACTAACATCACCATAGGCTGAAGGCCGGCTCACACAAGACGGAGCAGGGGAGTGAGAGTTCGCCATAGACAACAGCTCGTCCTCCTCCTCCCCATCCGAAGAGACGGAGGAACCAGATGCTATTGACAGAGTCATAGAATGTTTGGATCTGGAAGATCTATGCGCAGCCAAAGATTGCTGCACAGCTGCTGCAATCATTTTTTGAATGTCCTCAGCACGAAGAACAGTCTGTATCTGGTCAGTAGCCGGTCCGACTTCCGCAGAAGTATGAACCGGAGCAGAAGATAAGATCGGCGGTGGCTGCGCAGGTGGAGCCTGAGATGAAATAGCAGGCGCCAGAGAGGTAACAACTGGGACAGAGCCCCACAAATCTGCACTATGAATGTCCAAAGGGCAATCTTGGAGTGATATCTGATCCGGTGTAGGGGGAGACTGATGGACCCTCGCCTCAGGGGGTAGAGAATTAGGAGCTGGTGTTTGAAGGTTGCTGGCTCTATCGCCCAACTGTTTCAAACTTTTATCCCTATGTTGCACTGCACGTGATGGGATTGATGAAGAGCCCTTGCGATGTGAGCAGGCCTTTGTGGGCTCGGGGACAGCCGGGTTGCCAGCCTCTGCCAAAGGGTTGGTCCCCAAATCTCTGTGGATGGCTAGGGACTGTTGCTGCACCGTGGCCTTGCGGCCATGTTTACTCTTCCCCATTGCCTTGGGCATGATGGGCCGAAGGAGAAAGGCCTCAACTACAAAAAGTCCTTGAGGCAAACAAAATGGCCGCTCCCAGACTGCCCTCAGCTATGCCCCAATAAAATGGCCACCAGCCACCGAGAGGTGAAAGGTCCTTAAGTAAGGCACCTTATTGACTTAGCGTTAAAGTCAGAGATATTAATGCCCTGGAAGCAAATCAGAATGGCCAAGCCTCTACAGGGAGAATCAAGGGCACAGGCTAGAGTCCGGAGGCCTCAGAATAACCGCCGCAGTAAACCCATGAGTTGCGCGGGCAATTAAAATGGCGGACATGCCCTAGCCGTAACGGGAGCGCGAAGCTCCACAGCAACAAAACAATCGGCCGATCAAGCGATAAAGGGGCGATACTGCTACAGCCAGCAAGGGCTAATTACGCTAGGTCCGACAATCAGCTGAAGCTGCAAAAGCCAGCAAGCGGCAATTTAAAACGCGAGGAATTTTCCTCAGCAAAGGTGGCTCTCAAAATGGTGGCGCGACGAGCGATAGGGAGCGCAGCAGCTCCACAGCAATTATAAGGCTCTGCCGAATTAGCCACAGCCACTGCGATCCAAGCAGTGATAATTAGTGCCTCCGGCACGGGAGCGCGAGGCTCCGCAATCCCCACTTACTGACCAGTGGAAGGAGGGTCGTGAACAGTCCAAGGGGGAGGAAATAGGCAAGGAGGAAAAACAACCTCGCTGTCAAAATAAGCAGAGGTCCAACAAGCAGAAGAATAGTCAGGTTACAGTCCAAATTTCAAAGCCAAAATATCCAAAATCTGTTAGAAAGGGTAGAAAGGCAACAGAGAGAAATTCCACACTACAGTCCAGTCTGAAGGACTGAGCAAAGCTGGGAGCCCCTAGCAATGGGGGTGGGATTTAGCTTTGACAGGCTCAGTCCTTCATCTGATTGCATGAGCTGAACCCACTTCTGGGTGCTGTCTCCACCCCACAATGGAGAAGGATGTACAAGTCACATGAAAGATCACTCCCTCTCCCCCAAAGGAAATGAAAGTGAGTTATAATAGACTGGGCCAGAGTTTCATCACATAGATAAAATATGTTTAATTTAGCCTTTCTTACTCTGGAAGAACCAATAAAATAATTTTACCCTATCCTAGAAGAATCCATGAAGTATTTTTTAGGTCTTTGTATACCATGTCCACAAATTATGATTTTCTACATACAAAGTTCAAAAAAGCCAATGTTTTAATTTTTTTCCCAATCATGATCTTTTTTGGAACTCCCACTGACCTCTCACAGAACCTCACGCCCCTTGGACCCCCAGTTGAGAAAAGCTGGTTTATCCCAATATTTTAAGCAACTCATTCACATGTGGGGCTCTTGTGAATCTTTCCTGTTATTGAGGAAAATTGGTGGTATATTTTAAAACTGCTGAGGAATATGTTACTGTTATTTTAAGAAAAAATTAAATAGGTTAGTTACCTGGATAAGCACATGTTGTTGCTGTATACTTAACCCAACCTTGCCTTGAAATCTTGTCTCAAGTCTTTCTGTAGTTCTGTTTTGTTCTGAAGAAAGGCACCATCTGTGACAAATTGCAAAAAACATCTGTGAGGTGTTGCAAAACAAACAAACAAACAAAAACTGACAGGACCAAATTAATTGGTTGCCTCCAATAATACAGGATCACCTTTCTGTGACTTGAATCTGTCGTAAAAGTCTTTTTGAAATTAAATTTAAAATTTCAATTAGAGAACCAATTTGTGACAGATCTCATTTATTTACCATTTTTAAAAAATTAAATGAAAGGTTCTTGTATTCTATGCCAAATTGAAGAATTCACTGGGCTTTTTTGGGGGGGGAGGGGGGACTTCCTGAATAGGAAAAAATGATACCTGATTTTTCTGCAGTAAAGCATAAAACATAAAACATTTAACTTCAAAGGAATGTATGAACTGAGATCTACCTAAACTTATAGAGTATGAAAAGGAATTGCAGTAAAATAAGCAAGATACATTTCTTTTTAAATTCAAATATATGCTTATAAAACATACCAGTCTGTTCAAATGCTGGTTTCTTTCCTTTATAGTTTTATTTTTTAAATACTCTTAAATGGATTAGTTCAAGCAAGGACTGCTATAGAAAAATATAATCTGTTTCTTCTTGAATACATTCACATCCATGCATTCCGATGCAATATGCTACGTTATTACACAGAAAAAAATAAAATGTCTCCTACTACTATGAAAGGAATTCTGGAAAGAAGTCATTCTCTGAATTCTGTCAGACATTTTTTTTCAGAAGTAACTACTAGGATATTGATTGGACCGATACTTTACATATGTTTTTCATAGACTGGAACATCATGCATATTTCTAAATGCAGAATTTCTGTGCACATGAAAGGATATATTTGCTAATTGCTAAATTTTGTTTAAAAATATAAATTTCATCAGATTGTGTGCATGGCTCACAAAATATTTTTCTTTTATTGCAGAAATTAATTTTTTATGGGCTGGTCATCAAGTACATCATAGTTCTGAACAGTATAACTTATTCACAGCATTAAGGCAATCTGTTCTGCAAAAATTTGCATCATGGGTGAGTAGGTCCAGTGTGTAGTGCATGTCAAAGACAAAAAAAGAGTGAAGCAATTAAAGATTTTACAGAGTTTTAGAAACTATAAAAGAGTGAATTGAACTAGAAAATTTTTGTTTTAGATACTTTTTAGATAGTACTACATGTACAGTGCCCTTTCATATGATGATCTAGTCTTCATGTCGAACAAGAGTGCTTTGTCTGTCACAAATTCACTCTGTGCCATTCTGTGTGTACTCAAGAAACGATATTCTGAATAGAAGCACCATTGAAATGGAACTCTTTTCAGTTGAGATATGTTTAGCATCAATTATGACCCATCTGTTCACTTGGGCACTGAGTTAAAATGGTACGACTGTGGCACCTGATCTGATTTTTAAGTTGCTTCCCATTTTCAAACTCATTTTAATAATGAGACATGGTTTAAAAATAAATTTCAAAAATCTAATTCTTTAGGTATATTCTCTGCTGGTAAGACATTCTAATATATTGTTGGATGGTCTCTATGGTATGTATTGCACTAAAAATTTAAAAATAAAACAAAAACCAACTGTTGATTACATGAAATAGCATTTACCCAAAAAAGAATAATTTGATAAATTATTAATTAATTTGATAATTAATGTTGATTAGTGATCAACTAATGCAATAAGTGTGATCATAGTGAATTTAACAGTGAATTTAACTTATTTTGAAATGTTGGAATCTACTATATGTTAAAAAAATTAAGTGAATATTAAGATATGTATTTGTAACTGATGAGAATTATACCATAATAAAATGTTTCTGAATGATTAAAATAGAAATGGGCTTGTTGTAAGGCACTCAGAGTGGGCTCTTTTCCTTAGTGACTCTGTTATTGCTCAGTTTAGCCTCTTCCCTTCCTTAAGACAGTTAATTTGTCAAATGATCAAATACACCATGACCTCCATGGTGGATATGAGGGCAATCTTACTGTGACAGCCATTGATCACCATTCCTTTTCACACTATTACTGTAATTTGAACCAGAGCTACAAGAGGATGAAGACGTTTACTCTATTTTCACATAAGTACTAGTCAACTTTGCTGACCCATGATAACAAAAGCCTTTGGAATGGAATAGTTACAATTTAAGAAGTCAAAATGTAGTTTATTAATAAACAGTGGAAAATATGAAAATAGCTTAATTGAAAATAAGTTTAAAATGGAGTTGCAAACTATCTCACCTTATATTATGCCCACTTCTTTGAAAGTAATTCCATCCTGTTTTGATTGTGAGTTATTTCCACATAATGCACTAAAGTCTTTCAGACCATGCATTTAAATTAAAATTATAATTGTCTTTGCTTTTTATATATTTCACTAGCATTCACCCTAAAATCTGTGTAATACAGATGTATAACAATTTAAAATAACTATCACAATAATGTTGCCACAAAAGCTGCCACAAAGAAGAGGGAGTCAAGCTATTCTACAAAGCAACTGAGGGTGGGACAAGAAGCAGTGGGTGGAAACTAATCAAGGAGACAAGCAATTTAGAACTAAGGAGAAATTTCCTGACAGTTAGAACAATTAATCACTTGAAAAACTTGCCTCCAAAAGTTGTGAATGCTCCAACATTGAAAATTTTTAAGCAGATGTTGGATAACCATTTGTCTGATGTGGTGTAGGGTATCCTTCCAAAGCAGGAAGTTGGACTAGAAGACCTCCAAGGTCCCTTCCAACTCTGTTATTCTATTCTATTCTATTCTATTCTATTCTATTCTATTCTATTCTACATTCCATTCCATTCCATTCCATTCCATTCTATTTTGCTAATATAATCACTAATCTAATAAATAATCTACACTGTTTAGCACCATTGACAATTGGAACAAACTTATAAATGAATTAAGAAGTTAGAAGCAAGCAGATTAATTTTTTAATTTTGAAGTTTTTCTCTTAATTAAACTGAGATATTCTTATTTATTTATTTATTTATTATTGCGATTTATATGTCGCCATTCTCCCGAGGGACTCAGGGCGGCTTACAAAAACAATATCAATACAAATCACAATAAAATTAAAATCAACAACCCAATTAAAACAATTTAAAATTATAACAATGTACACCCATAACGGATCAGTTAAGTTGACGAAAGAGTCATGTCTTCAACTCATGATGGAAGGAAAGGAGGTCAGGGGCTGTCCTGAGCTTGGTGGGCAAATCATTCCAGAGGTTCGGGGCTCCCAGAGAGAACGCTGTCCTCCTGGGGGCCTTCAGCCGACATTATTTGGCTGAAGGCACCCTGAGGAGGCCCATTCTGTGAGAGCGCACAGGACGGTGGGAGAGCAGCTAGAGATGGTCCTGCAAGTACTCCGGGCCTAAGCTATGAAGGGCTTTATAGATAAGCCCCAGCACCTTGAAACGAATCCGGAATGCCACCGGCAGCCAGTGCAGCTCGTGCAGGAGAGGTGTTACACGGGAGTATTGAGAAGCCCCCGTAATTACCCGTGCGGCCACATTCTGGACTAGCTGGATCCTCCGGATGCATCCCAAAGGCAGCCCCATTAGAGGGTGTTACAGTAGTCCAACCTAGAGGTAACGAGGGCATGAGTGACCATGGCGAGGGCATCCCGGTCTAGAAAAGGGCGCAATTGGCGCACAAGACGCACCTGTGCAAAGGCCCCCCTGGTTACGGTCGTAACCAGGGGGGCCTTCTTGAAGATATCAGAATTTATTAACTATGGAATGAGGACATATTTATATAAGCACTTGTTGCAGAATGACACCAAATATTCTAATTCGTGTGGTGTGCTGTTACAGATAGTTAGTCATAGTGAATTAGTTACCTTAAGGATTAAGAGCTGGCTCCTTAAGAGATTGCATTGTGGGAGATGTAGAGAGAGAGATTGCATTATGGGAAATATAGCCCATGACATGTGATCATATCTGTGTGTCTGATTGGCCACTAAGGCTTTCTGCCTGGGCGCAGAACAAAGACCCGGCCATTTTGAATTACCACAGAAGAGAGAAGCATGCTTTCTGAACAGGGGGACAGAACTACTATTTACACTAGGAAATAGATAGATTATGAAATACTTGGATGAACCTCCCCTTGACTCACCATGATAGTAAGTCTATGGTTTCTGAAGGATACCTAAATAAATATAATCTGCATGAAAACCTGTTTGCTAGAGTTTATCTGCATGTTCCCAGTGGAGCCAGATGCCTGGGGAACAGAACACGTGGCATTATGAAAATCTGTGGTCTTCAGTGAAGCAATCAGTTTCTATTTTCAGATGGACTCAACAAAGAAGCAAAAGTATTTTATGCTGCTTGTTTTGTTTCATTGTGCTAAAAATGAATTTTGTTGTCAGGCCAAAATGGAAAATAATCGGACTTCTCATAATCTTTCTTTGTTGCTTTGGAAAAGGCTATATGCTGTCAGTTCCTAATTTTCTATTTCCCTGATAATAATTGTTCCAAATTCTTCTCTTAAAATGCTTTATATAAATATACACTAGTTATATAAGCCTTTGTTGGATAAAAGTGCTAATGTTTTTGGCCTGGAGGTTTTCAGATTCTTTCTTAATGATAATTAAATGAAGGCACATGAGTTATATGGAAAGTATTGCTCCTTTAGGAATTCATCATTTTGACTAGTAAGGTGTTCCATATCAAAAGAGCAACAAGGAAAATAGTTAAGAAATTTAAAATAATAAAACATGGAACCCATTTTGTTATTTTCTCATCTTTATCGCTACTAGATTTCAAAGAAAAATATGTCACCAGGTCAAATTATCATAGGATGCCAAGAGTTTTCTGTTATCTGACTCTTTCTGTTCATATTGTTTGAGGCATATCATGATTATGCAGCTAACTTTACACCCACAATACAGAAATTGCACAGTGGAATCTTTTCCCAAACTTGATTTTGGCTTAGGAAAATAAAATTGTAGTCCACTGGATTTAGAGGATAATAGATTGCTAAAGTTTTGTGACTTAATTTCTAAAATTTCTTACTTGACAAATTTTGATTTTAAAAGAATATTTTGGTCATTATTATTTCCTTTTGTTTTTAGATATTTTACCTCCCAATGGCTCTTTGCATTCCACCTTCAGTATTTGCTGTTCATCTTCAGTTTAATCTTCTTTACCAGTTCTGGATACATACAGAGGTAATTTAGACATTAGACAATGCCTAAACAGTTAGATTGGATCAATGTCTTGAAAACCTATTTGAAGCTGATTTATTGTATTAGAAAATTATTTTTATAATTCATTTGAAAACAAGTCCAAGCTTATTGTTATTTTTTATTCTCCATTATATACTCAATTATAACAAGTCTACAGCCACTTGGTCCCAGTTGTCATTAAAAAATATTTGTTTGTTTAATTTATTCTGCCCTAACCAAAATATTTTAAACCATAACAAGCATAAACTAATACTATATGTCTTCACTTTATTAAATGTTTAAAACTGCAACACTTAAAAAAATCATATCTTAAATATTTTAAGAAAAATAGGACTGTATTTATAATACATTTATGAACAATGAATCTAATTTTTCCATTGGCTTTCTTGGTTTCTTCATGAATTTTGCAATTTTATATGCATTTGTGTATTAAATACTGACAGTTTTTATTTTTAAAAAATATATCTTATTTCAAGTATTTTTAATATGTCAAAATATTGGTGTGAATTCATTTGAATTTATGGCAGTGTGCTTTATATTTTTCTACACTCATTGGACATGAATGATTACATGTGCTATTTTAAAATTGTTATTTATTTGTTAATTTTTTTTATAGAGAACATATATTATACATAGTGGTCCTTTCCTTATCAGCTCTTAATAGAGACATATCAAAACCTGCCTAACATCTGTTAAATACACCACTGCCACCACCACCACCATCAAAACATGAGGCTGAAATAATGACGTTTAAAACCTGAAATTAGTTTTGAGTTCTTTCCTAAATTGTAGTGGGCAAAAGACAGATATGTTTCAGCTCTGCTGGTAATTATTTTCCATAATAGGAGATCTGCCATATAGAATGCTAAGTTTATCAATGATCTCAAATATGTCCATTGTGGGACCCACAAAAAACAAACAACCAAAAAAACACCATCTGATGACCTTAATCTTCAGTAAAGATTATATGGGAATTAATGTTATAATATATTTAATTTAATACATTTTGTTTTATTTTAATTCTTACATGCAATTTGAATAGGGCTAAAAAAACAACTGGAGATCAGGAAAATTATTTCAACATTGGGATGATGTAAGAGTCAAGAGATACCCCTTGTTCTGCTGTATGTGGAATCAGAGGCAATTTTCAGACTATCTGTAATAATAAAAGGAGCCATTCCTTTTATTATTACATTAGCCTCTTAGACTCGTGACTTCCATTGTCTTCTTAAGAAAATGCATAATACAGTTTAATAATCAAATTATATTGTCAGCATATAGACAGGTAATTTTACACATAGTTATCATCCCATTTATTGAAACATCTGACACTAATTTCCCCTTTAGATGAACAGATAATGCTGAAAATTCTGTTGCTATACACAAATATATAGCTTTTGATCTCCATCCTGAATAGGTCAGTGGACAGGTATAATGTTTTAAACTCACCTATTTAATTGGATTCTCTTTAACTAGTTTTAGGGCTTGTATGGAAAACAGATTGTGTTATAGAACAGATTTATCCAGAAATATTGAAAATTTAGCAGAATATTAACTACCACTGTATGTGCAAAAGTGTTATTTTGCACCTAGTTGTACAATATTTTGCTTTAGTAATGTTTGCTATAGGAATACTACCATTCTTCCAATAACACCATAGACTTCTGTATCTAGTTTGTGGCCTTCCCAGATATATTGTGTTATAAAATCATAATTTTCAACCACACATATAATCCAGTTCAAAATAATAAAATAGGTTTTGTATTAGGGCTTACATTTTGATATAATGTGTTTAGAATAAATTGCATCTACATTCATTTTGTGTTATTTAAATATCATGGTATTTTATTATTTTCTCTATAAATTTTTTGTCTTTTAATGACTCCATAATTCCTTGCATTGGGGTGGAGTTGGGGCAAATGAATGGAGCTGAATGTTTACTGGCCAGATGCCCTTCCTGTCACCTATACAGAGTTCGCAGCAGATATTTACTCATTGTGCCCAGAAAAAGAAATATCTGCCGCTACCTACAATCACCTCTAGGCCACTGCACCACTTATTTTCTCTATAAACGCCCACATCTTATTAATGTGTATTTCTTGATTAAGACTCTTTAAATTAGATTAATTAGATTAATCAACAGTCTTGATTAGAATCTTATTTAGTGTCTTTAGTTTAAATGTTCAATATTTATAATCCTTGGGGATTATGATAGTCAACCTCCGGCAGAGCTGGAGGATATCAGATTGAATTCAAACATTAAGGGATGCCTTTATATTATTCATGCCCTATGCTGACTTAATGTATTATTGTTGTTTTTAAAACTTTGAGTGTACAGACCTATTGAAGTTACACTATAACCTCTGGTGACAAATGCTTCTGACCATGACCAAATCGGGTTCCAACCAAAAAATTCACAATTTTTTCCCCTGCGGCCTATTTCCCCTTCTGCATCAATTTTTTTTGTAAGCAGCAAATTTCCAAAATTAGATTCAGGTCATGACCAAATCGGTTTGCAACCAAAGTTATGGAATGAATTATGGTCATGACCAGAGATTCTACTGTACATTGAATTTTATGAGCTTTACTTTGAAAAGTCATGCATTAGTCACACTGTAATTTGTATATTTCCCTTGTGTAATAATCTAAAATTTGGAATTGGTTTGTATTAAATGTAGATATTAACCAATGCAGGAATCATTGGTTAATATACTAAGTTATGTTAGTATACTAACATACTAAGACATATGTCAGTTCTGAAGAGCCTCATGTCCTGAGAATTCAGCTATTATGTTATTTTTCTGTGCATTCATATGAACAAGCTCTATGTGTGCAGTTCTGAGTATCGAAAGCTTTTTCTGGTTCCGAACCAGTCTTTTGAGGTCTCTACATGCATTTCTGTAAACGTAACTGCTCCTCCTTTCATAGAGATCATAAGATGCAGGGCTCCTGTCAAATGTGACATAATTAGATTGCTTGATTCAGACATACTAGCAGAACCATCTGAGTTGAGTTCCAACAGGGAGCAGAATCTCTTATAAAACATTATAGGTGAAATAGATGCATTATATGCCAAGTTCAGTCATAGCTTTAGAAATGTGGGTTTAGAAAAAACAAAACAAAAAACCAGATGCCAGCACTCTGCCCTCAAGATAATTTATTACAAATATGACCTTGTGTTTCTTCTCTAAACAATTTTGAACCCTAAATCTTCACTTTTTCATACCCAGAATATAGTTATATTAGAATTCAAACCCCCATGAATCCCTTTATGATCCCAACAGGCTGGTTCTTTTAGCTTGTTTTTACTTGCAAACCAAAAATATTATTGTTTCACTCCTCAGTGTGGAAATTTGGCTACCTCCATATTACATGCTTACTGAAGTAGAAAACTGCCTAATCAGATAGGAAAACATTTGGCGATGAATAAATCAGGGTTTGCCGAAAATTTCAAAGTGTGTAAGCAGGCAGACAAGCGCATATCCTAGGGTTTTTGCTGTTCCCAGGTCCCCTGTAGAGAATTCACATGGCAAGTATGGCCACCAAGTCCATCTGTAAAAATATATGGCTGGCTTATTTTGAATTAACACAACAACTTTAGTAGAAAAGCAAACCATGCTTTTATTTTTATGTTTCCTCACCAGATGGTCTCAAATATGGATTCATATTCTAAGGGTGTGAGTGTGTGTAAGTAAAGCTGAATTTGGTTAAGGAAAATATAATAGTATGTGAAGAAAATACATTATCTAACAGTTTGATCAGTATAAATAAAAGTGCCTTGCCTCCTAAGATTGGCTGTTTGTTTATAGAAATAGTTCTGTATATTTATATATATTTGTTTTATTTTTAAATGCATCAAAATAATTACAGCTATGTATATAATAAAAGGTTTTTTTAAAAATCAGTATATTTCTGAAAAGTTGGTGCTAAACATCTACAGATGCTATTGAGAGCAACTTGGATATTTTGTTATATGCAGAGGTTCCTAAATTTTCATGGTTCCCAAATTGTATGCGATAATGTCCTGAGCACCGAAGCAGACTTACTAACAGTTCCATTTATTAAGTGGTAAAACATACTATGGCATCCCTGCAAGTTTACTATGGCACTATGGGGCCCTGTGGTGTGCAGTTTTTGTTGTTCAGTTGCTAAGTCATGTCAAACTCTTTGTGAACCCATGGACCACAGCACACCATCCCTCCCCTCCCCGTCCTCTATTATTTCCTGGAGTCATTGATGTCCACTGCATCAATGACACTATCTAACCATGTCATTGTCTGCCATCCCCTTCTCCTTTTGCCTTCAATCTTTCCAATATCATGGCATTTTTCATTGAGAACCACTGTTATATGTGGATTAATATTACAGTATTAATACAATCCAGTTAAATTGCACTGATGATACTATGGAATATGCAGTATGGTGTTGTTTTACGGCCCATGGTTTCTCATATTACCTTGAGTTCACCAGAAAGAAAATATACAGAACATTAGACTGGTTTCGCAAAGTACAAAATTTTCTTTGGATTTCATCACATAATTCCTCCCCCCCCCCATTTGAACAAAAATTTTATTCAATGCCTTGTAGTACTAGAAGATTAAATAAAGAGTAAATTAAAGATTTGTGTGCAGTAATAATATTTGTTTCACAAGATGTAAAATTTCCCTTGGATCTCATCACATGGATTTTTTCCATTATTTAAACAAAAATTGCATTCAATACCATACAATACTAACAGGAAAACAAGTTTCCCAATATTCAGCCAGGCTCTAAGATCACAAAAATAAATCCAGACCTGCAAAGGAATCAATTTATTTCTCACTGTGGTATATCACCATGTTATTTATATGAAGTACATGCATGTGTATGTATGGATATAAATTATATATATTCATATATGCATAACATATACAATGTATAACAGCACTGATTAAGACAGATTATAGACATTATAAACTAATGAGGCAACAAGGATATGAATT